TTTCGGCCATTTGCCGCCCAAGATTCATCATCATCAACTGCCTATAAATGCCCACTGCTGAGCAAAGCCTCTTCTCACGCGGAGAAGGTTATGCAGTAATCACCACGCTTGCTCAATGCGGGTGGGCGATTACAAACTTATAATTAGAAATTAAGAGGCCAGGTTTACTCACGATACCTTAACCGTTTGTCAGTGGTGTCTAGATAATCTTAGAAAGTACCTACATATTATATATATACTACAATTATATATATACTACATCGAATTCTATTTCGTTTTCGTCTGGCACAAAACAACTTGCTATAAAGAAAACTACGTTTGTAGTAATTGGCGTTAGTCTCTGCCTACCCCCATGGGAGACTGGCGTGAAGTTATGTATGTATGTATGTATGTTCACGCATCACGCAAAAGCTACTGGTCCGATTACGATGAAACTTGTTATGATTATATTTTATGGTTACCAAGTAATTCTGTGATTTAAATATGGGGAATTTTTACTGCACCTCTATTTAGAAATTCAAGCAAATCAAATTTCTCCACTAATAACCGACTACATATCAAAAAATTACTATACTACAAATTAACTACATATTACAAAACATATTAGGTACCTGGTACATACATCGTGAAACAAATATACTGATTTGCACACAAATTGTTCAATATTACAACGGAATTTCCAAAATAGGTTAGGCTAGGTTAGGTTACGAATTATTAGATTTACTTTTAGTTAAAAGATAGTCGTTCAGTAAAACAGTTAAGCCTTAAAGATCTAACAGTATAGTATTATTGATTTATTTGATGAGCAAATAGAGTGTGAAGTTCAGTGTTACTAGTGGTAATTTCGAATATTTTAATTGAAAACAAGGGAATTTACAGTTAAAGTATTAAATACCACCCTTTAAATATATCCTACGTTTGTATAGTTGGTAAACTAAGTTTGCCCTATTGTTATTGCTAAGTAGATTTATGGTAATCTGTCGTAAGGAGTGTATTTGTTCAATCTATTATTTTATTCATTCATGTTATATTTAACCCGTCGTGTGTCTAAACGGCGATCCACGCAAGACACATTGCATTTTCTATTGTGTCTCACATCAGTGCACTCAAGCGGTTAGTAATTTTGTACTATTTGTTGCTATTCCGAAACTATGTATGTGGGTATGTCAACCTAAACTACGTATTTGGGCCGTCATGACAATAATAATTGAATTATTGCTTACTTAGAAAACAACACGCTTGAACAATAGAGGACTGAGTGCTTCGCTACCGTGGGTAATGAGACCAAACATGTAGGCGACCAATCAGCGCTCGATTTTAGGTTTGATAGTTTCAAAAACAATTTAAGTAAGGGGCGGGCGATAAGACAACCGTGGTGTTTTTCGTGTAATTTACATTTAATGCAGTATTATTAATATTATTATTTACCTTTCAAAACTTATTTTTAGAAATAGCCATGTATTTGCTATTCGTAAAAAAAATTCTGCGTCGTAAGGAATATTGTAAAATAGACCAGGTATACACAAAGGTAATAATTAATAACGTGAGTTTTATTCGCAGGGGTTCATATTTCATATACCCGAATAGTCATCATACAATATAATATTATAAAATAAGTGTACAATATATTAACCTACATAACATCATGCCTTAGTTTAATTGGTAGAACAATTCTAATTATGTGTGGTAATTAAATTATGTCAATGGCAAGCGAAGGATCAAGGATTATGAAAAATATTGTCTTGTGAACGTTGTTCTAAATTATATTTTACAAAAAATATTTTAATATACTTAATGAAATACACATTTTAAAATAGTTTTATGGTTCCCATGGTATGCAAAAGCTAATTTCTCCGCATAGATAAGATAACAATGGCCTCCTCGCTCCTCGTATTTTCTTTGTCAAAGTAGGTATATAAAGACAAATCCCACTGAGGAGTGGTTAGTCTTTGACACGTCGTTTATACGAACAGTCGCTTGTCGGTGGTCAGCTATTGTTACCAAATCGGTCAAAAAGTGAGTTCCAGTGATTTCTGTATTGTTATTGAAAGTGAAGTGGAAGTGACCCTCTTTATCCTGGAGATCGCAGAAGTCGATGCGCGTTTGTGGTAATCAAAGTACATATCATTTTAAAATTTATATCTCTATAATAAATCACAATGGTTCCCCAAATTGAAATGAACGTGGACGAAATCCTAGAAGGTGCCGAAACCAGAAGCCAAATGGACATGATTGTGAACCAAATACGAGAAGATGTTGAAAATAACAATCAAAATGAAATGGTTCTAGAAGTAGTCATATATTCAACTGAAAACTACAACCATAGTGATGGTGAAGAAATGGCTGTAGAAGAAATTAATGAAGAAATGATAGTAGAGGATGTTGTCACACAATGTACAGAACACGACAACCGAATTAAAGAAAGCTTCTCACAGTCTATCGAAACCTTCAAGGAAATAGAAATGATTGAAGACACAATCATACAATCCGTAGAAAACCAAAACGACATTGCAATTGTTACTGCTGAAAATTTCATAAAATATGCAGAAAGCACTAACATTAAAATTAATATAGAAGAAATCATACAACTCCTCGAAAACGATGATCCAACTGAAAATACTGTGGAAGAAATTACAAACTCAATCGAAAACGTGAATAGAATTGAAATTATTGCAAAACAAATCATTAATGCTACCAAAGCTACACCGAGAATTGGCAAACCATCGGCAAGGAATGGTTTTACGGAAATTGAAGTCTCTGATACAGACAAAGAACTGTTCAGAGAATTCTTTGCTCTGCTTAAGTTACCAACGGCAGACATTAAACTAGATTTTGTAGTGGCAGTGGCAAGGGGTATCTCCGCGACATTGAACCTGATCGATGTCGCGCAAACATAAAAGACGATGGTAGCGGAACACGTGGTAATAATTTGTGGTCCGCGGTAATGAAGGAGTTGGAGTGTGACGTGGAAGGTGGTCAGTGTCGACTACAGTGGAGCTTGTTAACGAATATGAGTGAAGTGCGTTGTGCAAAAGAATAATTTGTGAGCTTAGAATAAGCCTATAGGACTCTTTGATATTAAAAGTAGTAAAATTTATGAGTAAGACGAATATTGATAGAAACGACTGAAAACAATAATATTGTAAGTAGTGAAATGATTTGATGAACTTAAGAAGATTATGTTAATTTAGTATATTAATAAAATTGGCCTTGTATATAGATGAATATCTGTATAATGTTATTTTATGGTACGAACATACTTCTACTAAATAATTTTTGTAATATAAATTATACCTAAGCTTATGTTGTAGTTTTGTTAGATGTATAAGTAATTTAGTATTATTTTATTGTAATGATTGTAGTACCTTCTATAATAATGAAATGTATCTATTTTGATGAATAAAAATAAACATGTGTCTTCAATAAAATTATTTTTCATTGCACATCACTTTGTATCTGATAGTCTCTTATGTAATATACATGATTGGCATTTTTGGCTTCGGAATCGATTGCAGATCACAACCCAACTGCACTTGATCAATTTTACAAAATCCATTATGATAGCAAAAACATGGCTATTTCTAAAATTAGGTTTTAAAATTTTGTCTCATTTCCCACGGTAGCGAACCACTCAGTCCTCTATTGTTCAAGCGTGTTGTTTTCTAAGTAAGCAGTAATTCAATTATTGTTGTCATGACTGCCCAAATACGTAGTTTCGAAATAGCAACAAATAGTACAAAAATACTAATTTGACATTATAGTATGATAGGATCTTCTTATTTGATATTTATTATTACGCGATATAACGCGCTATCTAGTCTATATCTTTAGCAAAACAGACCCAAAATCAGGTAGGTTAGAAATACAAAACAAGGAAATATAGGTAATGTCACGACCCATGTAACCCATATTAAAATGTTACTGAACAGTACAGTTATTGGACAATGGATCCCTTCTATAGGAAAGGGTTTGCTGAAGGTAATCTCCACGTACATACAATACATACATACATCAGTTAAATAAAACGTTTATATACACGACTGCAATCTCGTGAGATTTCGACCATTTGCAGCCCAAGATTCATCATCATCAACTGCCTATAAATGCCCACTGCTGAGCAAAGCCTCTTCTCACGCGGAGAAGGTTATGCATTAATCACCACGCTTGCTCAATGCGGGTTGGCGATTACAAACTTATAATTAGAAATTATAATCCGAGGTTTACTCACGATATTTTCCTTCACCGTTTGTCAGTGGTGTCTAGATAATCTTAGAAAGTACATATAACTCGGAAAAAGTCACATTGGTACTCGCCGTTAGTAGGTTTCAAACCCACACCCTCATGCATGAGAAGCCATCAAGTTCGGAGGTTAAACCTCCGGGCCACCACGACATCGCCCAAGATTAACCTCGCTCAAAAGGCCGAGATCTCGAGATTGAATTCCCTGATCATGTTTAAGTATAGACTATCAGATACAAAGTGAAGCGTAATAAAAAATGTTTTTATTTAAACACATTTAGTTTTATTCATCATAGATACATTTGATTATTATCAAGTGGGTATTACAATCATTACAAAAAAATACTAAATTACTTAAACATATTGTAACAAACTAACAGATGTTAGCTAATGATTTCGATCACAAAAGTTACTTAGTATCTAGCTTGGTTTATTTGTGAAGTAGAAAATAACTATCATTAGTACTGATAGGTCACCCATTCACTGAGGTTAGAAGTCGGCGCCATAAGTTCTATAGAAAATTATTCATTAAAACCTTAATAGATACCTAATTTACAATTTTGTGGCCATTAAGTTATATCATTATGATATGACTAATGATAGTTATTTTTTTCTTTTTAGTTTTGACTTTTGTTTGTTTTTAGTTTTTGATTTTTTGAAGTTAGTTTTTTAAACGCAGTTTTTATTTTATTATTTTATCATTTTCAGTGTAAAGCTACATAGATCCGTTTTGTCACTTATAATCTGCATAAGCGCAAACTTCAAATCAATTAAAATTATACAAGCCCAAACACAAGGTCGTTACTGTATACCGTTGAGGAGTTCCCTTAACAATTAAATTTCTTCATCATCAGATCCTTAATCACAGTCCCACTCTATCTAGATGTAAAGTCCTCGTCAATACAAATTAATCAAGCCCAAACACAAAGTAGTTAATATAAACCGCTGAGGAGTTTTCTTTAATGTCTGTCGGCTCCATCATCAGGTCGACTCCAGGCCCTTATTGAATTGTAGTGTTTAAAAATCCTGATTGAAAAACATAATAGACGCAATACTCGCCCCTAGAAGTTATGAAAGTTCCCCTCGTGTTCCCTAGGATCCCATCATCCAATCCTGACCTCATGGAAATGAGACTATCCCGGGAGTTGGAATGGAAATGAGACCCTTTCAAACAAAACAAGAATTTTGGAAATTGGTTCACAAACGGAGGAGTAATGCGCGAACAAACAAATAAATAAACAATCAGCCGAACATAGTACCTCCTCCTCCTCCTTTTTTTGAAGTCGGTAAATAATTTGTATCTAATTGTAATATGGGTATGAATGAAAGCACAAAAAATTATTCATGTTTGTTTATTTACAACAATATCATTTGTATAAATCACAATATCAATTATTATTATTATTATCATTGCTTACAGAAGCTGCTGAAATTCCTGGACAAGAGGTGCATTACAGTTAAAACACCTGATAATAGTGCTCGAAATAATAGAAGGTAGCACGAACAATCATATTGTATAGTTATTGTTTTTTTTTTTGTAAATATTAAATTAAATTTACATGGTGTGTCCACAATAGTGATTTTTTTGTTGAGCAATATTATGCGATGTTTCTAAAACTTTAGCTAATGGGAATCTAAAGATTAAACTTTATTTTCGTCTAATACTATTATAGCTTTACGTTAACGTTTAACTAAGGCCTAAGGACTAAACAGAACTCAATTCCGGAATACAGCCAAACCTTTGTTAATTTTCTCTTTTTCTGGCTGGCTTTTCTCTGTTATCCATATTTTACGTGAACCACCATTTAGCCATGCGAATACAGTCGCAATGTCGTAAATATCTTTAATTTTTTTTTTTTTTTTATACTTTATAGGTCGACGTGTGACCACCATCTCGCCTGATGGTAAGCGATGATGTGGCCGACGATGGAGCACGCCTACCTATGAGCAACCTGTTCACTCGGGACTTGAAGACACCCAAGTCATATTTGGCGGGAAACACAGCCTCTGGCAAAGAATTCCATTCCTTAGCGGTTCGCATGAGGAAGCTTATTTATATAATTTATTTACAACCTCACCTCAACCACTCAAACAAATATTGCTCAACAAAATTAATTATGAATTAGACAAAAATAAATAAAATATTGTACTTTTTTGTATTATTTAATGATGTATTATTTTGTTTCATTAACATTTTCGCCGTATCGATAATAAATATAATTTGTGTTATAATAACATATTGGTAAAAACCAAAACCCTAATAAGACCAGAGATCTTAGACCGTTTTGTTTTTTTTTAATTACGTTGCACCACTTTTTCTCCTGTCTCGTGGGCGCGCGTACAAACATACACACGCAAAGAGTTGCTCCGTGCGGGATTGGAACCCGCTACGCGTTGCTCGGTAGACGGTTGCCCAGCCACCACGGGGGGGCTGGGCAACGTGCAGATTGTTTTACGTTTAAAGTAATCAAAACGGGACCGCGTTCGGCGCTCTGATTGGCCGGCGCCAATGAACCATCCAGTCAGAGCGCCACACGCGGTCTCGTTTCTATCAAACTCGTACTAAGGCCTCAGTTAATAAGTTATCAATTCGAGTTATCATTTCGAAAAGTCAGCACTCCGAGCCAGAGCCATATTCCCCTAACGCAAGTTAAGCAAGTGCCCAGGGCGCCAAGTTATAAACAGGCGCCGCGAGACACGCGTGACCAACTGCACATAGCGGGTAGCGGCGCCAAAAAAATAAAGGCGCTTATGAGGTGCTTGCCTGGGCGCTTTCTACGTTTAATCTTCCCCCTGAATCTATTGGTCGTATTTCGTTCTCATATAATCATCATATCTTCCATTCGTAGAGGATAAAGAAAATATTTGAATAACTTTGAGTTTTATATTTACTTAGGAACAATAATACAATTACAATTAAACATATTTACATAAAAGATCTAACGAAATCACAAACATTAAGTAACATTAAAACACCCTATATAACAAGATCGTTATTTACAACATACCTTATAATATTTTTAAGCTAAATATCATTTTTTTAAAAGTCCTGCCTGTTCTATTGCCTGTCTCGTTGCATTATTGATATGTCTAAACCTGTCAGGGCCTAGCTGTATCCCACCATACCTGAAACAAATTGACAAATATACATACATGACGCTACATTAATGTATTAAATAGTAGTTATTTAATTTACTGTAAGTATTATTAGTCAAAATCAAAGAATTTATTTCAATTAATCTTTAATTAGTTATTATTAAATTCAGATTTATAATGTAGGCAATGATTTTGCAAGCTAGTATTAGCGATTTGTGTCAAGACCACCTGTAATGTATTATGATTGTAAATATATTTCATGATATAATAAGTACTGCAATAGTCATATACTTTGGGAAAGACCTAAGATAATCTCATTTAATAATACCATGGCCTCACAGAAAACTGACGTGAAACAACGCTTGCTTTGTGTTTCGTCGTGTGAGTGAGGTTACCGGAAGGTCTCCGCTCTCCCCAATCTCTGAATACCCAACAATCCTTACCGATTGCTTACCATCAGGTGATGCGTAAGCTCGTTTAGCGGCGTATTTAAAAATAAAATGCCACAACCGAGCAAACGGTCCCAGGTTTGAATCTTAATTTTGTTATAGTATTGAGATTTTCGGTTACCAACAATTCTGATTAAAAGCACCGTTTCGAATTTTACTATGATACATGGCATTAGCCTCTCCACCGACATGTTGTCACTTCACATTATAACAACTGGCCAACATGAACACCTATCTATGTCCCTTTAAAGAACTAATGTTCCATAGTACACTAAAAAATACTAAAAATATTGGCTTACCAGCGAGTCACTACAACTAAAGTATTCTTCTGATCTAAAATCTGCATTAGATGTAACATCCTGCCACCAGCGTGCGCCTCGCCATCGTTATCACAGTCCTGAAGGATGCTTGACTTTCCCTTGCCTGTCTTCCGTTCTATGCGGTAAGCATACATATTGTGTTTCGCATTACATATCTTCTTGTTCATCTTTAGTTTTGTTAGGACCGCGCTAAAAATTGAAGGTATTGATTAGTAATCAGCACATCATTGTACATAGGTTTTAAAAACGAACGTTAAAAAAATTGCTTTGCAAATTCAATATTCTAGTTACTATTATATTTGACTAGCTGTTGCCCGCGACTTCATCTGCGTAGAATATGATTCCTGTTTTATCCCATTTCCTGCCTTTTACCAAATTTCATCAAAGTCCGTCTTTCAGCGTGATTGATGGACAAACATCCGAAGAAATAAAATTTCAGATTTATAATATCAGTGTGATGGTTGCATTTGACCACTATATCACCTAGAGGTAATCAAAAGTGTGGCCATTAATCAATCGAGCACTATTAACAACCATTTTATGAATTTAACGAGTCTTAAGGAACAAGACAAAATGCCTATAACCTTTAACCTTTTGTAGCCTATAACCTTCCTCGATAAATGGACTATCCAACACAAAAGGAGTTATGAAAATCGGACTGGTAGTTCCGGAGATTAGTGCGTTCAAGCAAACAAACCAACAAACAAGCAAACAAACAAACTCTTCAGCTCTATATGGTAGTATAAGATTCTCAAAATCAGAAGATAAATATTCAACTATATACATAGAATTGCAGTAGGTAGGAACATATTTACTTACTTTACATCATCAATCGAGTGGACTTCTGCCGCATGACCTTGGAATATACTTTTCCTATCCACGATAACCTCACCATGAGTTATCTCTGGACAGTCACTATGTACCTGTAATTTACACATTGACAGTTAGGTTTATAACAAGAGCCTTCTAACTACAAGACATTGAAATGATCCTTAGTCCAATACATTCAATTCATGGTCATGTAAATAAGCAGAGGAGGTGATGGCAGAAAGTTCTGCCAAGTACTGTAAGAGCTTTCTTAGGAACTAAATATTTTATGGAGACCGAACAGCAGCATTATCTGATAAACCTTTTAAACTACAGCAGGACCTCTTTAATCCGAACCCCTCTGTAATCCGAACGCCCCCCCCCCTTTTTTAATTACGTGACAAAGCAGTTTATTTGTCATTAAACACCACACGACAAACCAAAATACTGGATTTCTTCGAAAAAGTTGCATCAAATATTTAACGTTTATAGATGAATACAGACTTTGTTATATTTATGTACCTATTAGGTAGTTTTATTCCCAAAAAATACTCTTTCATCTATACCCCTATGATCCGAACACTCCACTAATCCGAATTAAGGAGGTCCTGCAGTATAATCTGCAGCCTCCCAGATATAGAGATGGCAAACACTATTTCGTACGGGAGGTCCAAGTCCAGCACTCTCGGTCTAAAGTAGCTACCTACTTTCAGGTATACTATGAAGGCAGGTTATGAGTGTAAAATCTTACCAATGATGTATCTGAAGATACTGTGGGAGGTGATTTGGATTTAGTTGTTTTGTTTACTTTTTGTCTTTTTTTGGCTTTATAGTCTGTGGTACTTCTCTTATTTTCTCCACCCATTGAAACACAACACATTTTCCTATGTTCTCTCTGAAATAGATAAGTAGATATAAAGTTATTGTACAGCAAGTAATTTCACAGTTGAAAATGACAAGAAATTGAGATTAATTTAAATTGCAATACGTGATAATAGAGTTACATTGCATAAGCCATTAAATAATGTTGGCACTGTATTCATTCAACTGTCAAAATCTTTGTACTTTGAGAAATGTAGACTTATTCGCTGAAACTTGAAAACATGAAAAAATACCACAAGATTGTGACCTCAACAGGTTACATTGAGCAATGTTTTTTTAAGGGCATAGTCAATTTAATACTTACAAATAGATTTTGTCTAAGGCTTGATGCAGCTCTGATTTGTCTTTTCTGTCCATCCATGGAGCAGAAATCCTCTGGCATAGTCATATACAGAACAACTTCATATTTCTTTTCCAATATTTTTAAGCTATACGACCTCGTTTTGTCGCTCTCTCTATTTTTATTAAGGATGATTCCCTTACAACTTATACAAAAAAAAAAAAAAACAATAAATCAGTCTATAATTTATAGGCGCAATATTTTTATTAATGCTTATTATTTTTATTTTTGAAAGCATTATTTTATGTTCTTTGATAGAATATTTTTTTAAGTCAGGGCAGTCATGACAACAATAATTGAATTACTGCTTATTAGAAAACACCACGCTTGAACAATAGAGGACTGGGTGCTTCACTACCGTGGGAAATGAGACCAAACATGTAAGCGACCAATCAGCGCTCAACTTTCAGGGTTTGATAATTCCAAAAACAATTAAACAATTCCGTTGTAAGACAACCGCGAGCGATAAGACAACCGTGGTGTTTTTCGTGTAATTTACATTGATTGCAGTATTATTAATGCCATTAAGAAATAGCCATGTATTTGCTATTCGTAAAAAAATCTGCGTCGTAAGGAATATTGTAAAATTGATCAGGTGTACACAAAGGTAATAATCAATAACGTTAGTTGTATTCGTAGGGGTTCATATTTCATATACCCGAATAGTCAACATACAATGAATACTATTAAAATAAGAGTACAACATATTAACCTTTACTCACATAACATCGTGCCTTAGACATTATAATTGGTATAAGAATTCTAATTATGTGTGGTAATTAAATTATGTCAATGGCAAGCGAAGGATCAAGGATTATGAAAAATATTGTCTTGTGAACGTTGTTCTAAACTATATTTTACAAAAAATATTTTAATATACTTAATGAAATACACATTTTAAAATAGTTTTACGGTTCCCACGGTATGCGAATCCGAATTTCTCCGCATAGATAAGATAACAATGGCTTCCCCACTCCATGTATTTTCTTTGTCAAAGTAGGTATATAAAGACAAATCCCACTGAGAAGTAGTTAGTCTTTGACACGTCGTTTGTACGAACAGTCGCTTGTCGGTGGTCAGCTATTGTTACCAAATCGGTGAAAAAGTGAGTTCCAGTGATTTCTGTACTGATATTGAAAGTGAAACGGAAGTGACCCTCTTCGTCTTGGAGATCGCAGAAATCGACGCGCGTTTGTGTAAATCAAAGTACATATCACTTTAAAATTTATATCACTATAATAAATAACAATGGTTCCCCAAATTGAAATGAACGTGGACGAAATCCTAGAAGGTGTCGAAACCAGAAGCCAAATGGACATGATTGTGAACCAAATACGAGAAGATGTTGAAAATAACAATCAAAATGAAATGGTTTTAGAAGCAGTCATATATTCAACTGAAAACTACAACCATAGTGATGGTGAAGAAATGGCTGTAGAAGAAATTAATGAAGAAATGATAGTAGAGGATGTTGTCACACAATGTACAGAACACGACAAACGAATTAAAATAGAAATGATTGAAGACACAATCATACAATCCGCAGAAAACCAAAATGACATTGCAATTGTTGCTGCTGAAAATTTCATAAAATATGTGGAAAGCACTAACATTAAAATAAATATAGAAGAAATCATACAACTTCTCGAAAACGATGATCCAACTGAAAATACTGTGGAAGAAATTACAAACTCAATCGAAAACGTGAATAGAATTGAAATTATTGCAAAAGAAATCATTAATGCTACCAAAGCTACACCGAGAATTGGCAAACCATCGGCCAGGAATGGTTTTACAGAAATTGAAGTCTCTGATTCAGATAAAGAACTGTTCAGAGAATTCTTTGCTCTGCTTAAGTTACCAACGGCAGACATTAAACTAGATGTTGTAGTGGCAGTGGCAAGGGGTATCTCCGCGACATTGAACCTGATCGATGTCGCGCAAACATAAAAGACGATGGTAGCGGAACACGTGGTAAGAATTTGTGGTCCGCGGTAATGAAGGAGTTGGAGTGCGACGTGGAAGGTGGTCAGTGTCGACTACAGTGGAGCTTTTTAAGGAATATGAGTGAAGTGCGTTGTGCAAAAGAATAATTTGTGAGCTTAGAATAAGCCTATAGGACTCTTTGATATTAAAAGTAGTAAAATTTATGAGTAAGACGAATATTGATAGAAACGACTGATAACAATAATATTGTAAGTAGTGAAATGATTTGATGAACTTAAGCAGATTATCTTAATTTAGTATATTAATGAAATTGGCCTTGTATATAGATGAATATCTGTATGATGTTATTTTATGGTACTAACATACTTATACTAAATAATTTTTGTAATATAAATTATACCTAAGCTTATGTTGTAGTTTAGTTAGATGTATAAGTAATTTAGTATTATTTTTATTGTAATGATTGTAGTACCTTCTATAATAATGAAATGTATCTATTTTGATGAATAAAAATAAACATGTGTCTTCAATAAAAGTATTTTTCATTGCACATCACTTTGTATCTGATAGTCTCTTATGTAATATACATAATTGGCATTTTTGGCTTCGGAATCGATTGCAGATCACAACCCAACTGGAATTGATCAATTTTACAAAATCCATTATGATAGCAAAAACATGGCTATTTCTAAATTTTTTTTTTTCGTTTTGGTTTTAAAAGGTTTTAAAAATTTCTCTCATTTCCCACGGTAGCGAAGCACTCAGTCCTCTATTGTTTAAGCGTGTTGTTTTCTAATAAGCAGTAATTCAATTATTGTTGTCATGACTGCCCAAATACGTAGTTTCGAAATAGCAACAAATAGTACAAAAATACTAATTAGACATTTAAGTATGATACGATATACTTATTTGATATTTATTATGACGCGATATAACGCGCTATCTAGGCTATAAGTTTGCATGCTATGTATCTTTAGCTATACAAACCCAAAATTTTATCAGGTAGGTTAGAAATACAAAACAAGGAAATATAGGTAATGTCACGACCCATGTAACCCATATTAAAATGTTATTGAACAGTACAGTTATTGGACAATGGATACCTTCTACAGGAAAGTTTGCAGAAGGTAATCTCCACGTACATACATGAGTTAAATAAAACGTTTCTATACACGACTGCAATCTCGTGAGATTTCGGCCATTTGCCGCCCAAGATTCATCATCATCAACTGCCTATAAATGCCCACTGCTGAGCAAAGCCTCTTCTCACGCGGAGAAGGTTATGCATTAATCACCACGCTTGCTCAATGCGGGTGGGCGATTACAAACTTATAATTAGAAATTATAATCCCAGGTTTACTCACGATGTTTTCCTTCACCGTTTGTCAGTGATGTCTAGATAATCTTAGAAAGTACATATAACTCGGAAAAAGTCACATTGGTACTCGCCGTTAGTAGGTTTCAAACCCACACCCTCATGCATGTGAAGTGGGCGTCTTAAACCTCCGGGCCACCACGACATATTTTCATCAAATACTTAAATACTTTAATAAATGTTAACTTATTCGCTGAAACTTGAAAATATGAAAAATATCACAAGATGTGACCTCGAGTGGTTACATTGAGCTGATTGATTGTCCATGCTACCTTCTATTATTTCGAGCACTATTATCAGGTGTTTTAACTGTAATGCACCTCTTGTCAACGAATTTCAGCAGCTGTAAGCAATGATAATAATAATAATTGATATTGTGATTTATACAAATGATATTGTTGTAAATAAACAAACACGGATAATTTTTTTCTCTTACGATTCAGTAATCTCTTTGGAGAAACTGAAGGATTTGTCTGTGCAATTATGGACGAAGTTATCCTTACGAATAACTACCGGAAATATATAATTAAGGATGGGACGGTTGACATATGTCGGGCATGTCATAGTCCTAGTGAATCCATTAGACATATTATTTCTAGTTGTGGTCGTTTGGCTAACAGTGAATATTTGCATAGGCATAATCAAGTAGCTAAGATTATACATCAGCAACTTGCTTTACATTATCGACTTGTTGAGCCTGAGGTACCGTAATACCGTACAAGTATGTGCCCGACCCAGTTCTGGAAAATGACCATATCACATTGTACTGGGACCGGTCTATCATTACTGACAGGACTATTGTAGCCAATAAACCTGACATAGTGGTGATAGACCGACAAGTACGCCGCACGATGATAATTGATTGATGAAAAGCTGAGAAAGATAAACAAATAAAATATCTAGACTTAGCTCACGAGGTTGTCGACATGTGGAGTGTGGATTCGGCTATCATTGTGCCGATAGTCATGTCGGCCAATGGGTTAATCCCTAAAAGCCTCGACATCCACCTTAGGAGGCTGGCGTTAGGTGGATGGATCAAAGGCCTGATAAAGATGGCAGTTCTCCTAGAAACGGCACGTATCGTGAGGAGGTTTCTGTCTCTGGAGCCCTAACCACCGGTAGCTTGGACCATGCTCCCACTACTGGTCGGCTCCTATTTTTTATATTTTAAAATATTATTTTTTTATTTTGTAAGTAATATTTAAAAATGTAATTTATAGAGAATTTTAAATAAATATATGGAATAAATCTCTTAAGTAGTATTATGATTTTGGACGACAGTTGAATTTGAACCGTTGAACAGAACGTTCATATTTTAATTGTGATAATTATATCGAAGAATATCAAAGTAATCATCGTTTTATATCTGAGTTGAGATTGAGTTCTTACACTTCATATCCATCACACTCAAGAAAGCAGTCTAAAGTAGCTACCTACTTTCAGGTATACTATGAAGGCAGGTTATGAGTGTAAAATCTTACCAATGATTAGTGAGATTTAGTTGTTTTATTTACTTTTTGTCTTTTTTTTTGGCTTTATAGTCTGTAGTACTTCTCTTATTTTCTCCACCCATTGAAAAACAACGCATTTTCCTATGTTCTCTCTGAAATAGGTAGATATAAAGTAATTGTACACCAAGTAATTTCACAGTTGAAAATGACAAGAAATTGAAATAAATTTAAATTGCAATAAGTGATAAGAGAGCTACATTACATAAGCC